TGAAAAGAATATCTTTCCCGACATTTCTAGGATAAGATTCATCAAAAGTAATATGCACAGACTCCTCAACAATAAGTAATCTCTTATTATACACTCTATAAGCTTTGCTTGACTGAGAGTATCCAAGAAAGATACCTTCGTCAGCTTTTACATCAAACTTTTCAAGGTTGTTCTTAACAATATTTAAAATAAAGCATTTGCATCTTAATACATGAAGATGTGATAAATTTGGTTGTCTACCTTTTAAAAGTTCATAAGGTGTTTGTTTAAAATAGGACATATAAGTATCCTATTTAACACATAAAACATTTTGCTAATAGCAACAACCCAAAAATATTTTGGTTGACTACTCTCATTGATCATAGTTCTTGCCAACTCCTCCAAAATTATATTTTTTCGCTCCACAACACCAATTTTTTGTGGAGTTCTAGAAGCGGACAAATTATGTTCAATACCATATTTATCAAAATAATCCTCAAAGAGGTCGTTTTTAAATTCACCTCCATGATCACTTCAAATTGAAACTATGTTTAAACTTAGTTTATTTTGGGACAACTTTGCAAACTTTGTGAAAGCGGAAAAAGTCTCATCTTTACTATACAAAAAGATAGTCCAATAAAATCTAGAGTAATCGTCTACAATAACAAAACCATAGTAATTACCACATAGGATTTGTTTTCCTAGAAGAAACAAATAGATCCATATGGAAAAGCTCAAGAGGTTTAGAAGTTAAAATAATACTTTTAGATTTAAAAGAGACCATTGTTTGTTTTCTCATTTAACATGCGTCACATAGGTGGTATTTTGAAAACTTAATTTTAGTTAGAGTGATAACTAGATTCTTTGAAACCACTTTATTTAGTAAATCAAGGTTAACATGTGCTAAACGTCTATGCCATAACCAAAAGTCTTCACTCATGGTTACTAAACACTTAGTACTAGTCAATGATACATCATTCAAGTTAAGCATATAGATGTTATTTACCCTTAAGCCCTTAAACGAATGATTTTTCTTCTCATTATGTTTAATCATTCAACAATTATTTGTAAAATTTATTTTATCGGCTTTGTCGCATAGTTGACTAACGCTACGAAGATTATGTTTAAGACCTTCAACAAGTATAACATTCGAGATAATAGTAGAAGAGAGATTACCTACACTATCTTTACCAAGTATATCACCTTTGTTGTTGTCTCTGTAGGTTACATATCCCTTTTCCTTTGCCTTGAAGTTAATGAATAGGGAAATTTCACCTGTCATATGCCTTAGGCATCCACTATAAAGAAACCACGTTATTTCCATGGAGTCAAGACATTCAATATTTTTCTTATTATGATGATGGGCCATGAAGCAAAAAAATTTCGCTTCATCACTTTCACTTAAGGATTCACTATCACTTTCCTATGCTATCTAGGCTCTTCTAAGCTTTCTAGATTTCTTGTATTGACCCTTTCCTTTATCCTTTTTAAGTAATGGACAATCTGGCTTATAATGACCAACTTTTCCATAATTAAAACATGAACCTTTAAACTTTTCCTTCTTATTCTCATCTTGCTTTAAGGAATTAGCTTGTCTTATATAATTAATGAGATTCTTGTTGGAGTTCTTCATTCCATTTATCTTATTGTACTTATGGTACTGTTTAACAAAGATCCCATTTCTTCATCATCCAAACATTCATCATCACTACTTCCACTATCATCTTGCTCTTTAGTAAAGGATTTAGAACTAGAAGTCAGTAGAGAAATTGACTTCTTGTCCACCTTCTTTTCCTTGTTCTTTTATTTCTTAACCTTCTTCTCATGATTCTCCAAGCAAATGAGCTCTTGCTCACGTTTTTCATGCTTACCAGACAATGTAGTAGTGTGCAATGCGAATAGGTTATTAGCTTCCTTGATGGAGGTGCCCTTCGGTTGCCATTTGCTATTAAGAAATCTGAAAATTTTGTTAGTAGCAATTTCATTGGAAACCAGCACACCAAGTGCATTCAAACGGTTTACAAGATGAGTGAACCTGTTTTTCATATCGGCAATGGTTTCACCATGATTCATATGAATGAGTTCAAACTCTTGGTTCAAATTATTGATTCTAGCCTGTTTGACTTCATTTGTACTGTCATGGACAACTTCTAATGAGTCCCACACAGCTTTAGCGGTTTCACAATGAGAAACACGGTAATACTCATCAACTCCTAAAGAGAATTTTAGAATATTCCTTGCCTTCCAATCACAAGACCATTATTTCTCATCATCTGCGCTCCATTGTGCTTCCGGTTTATGTATAACAACACCATCTGCATTGGTCATAGTAATTTCAAATGGACCATTTAGATGGTGTTCCATTCATTTCTATCAATATAGTTGATATGGATACGCTTACAATCCTTCCAATAACCATAGATTTCATCATTAAAAATAGGCGCTTTATTATTCTCCCATTTATAATCTAATAAGACTTTGAAGCACAAGATAAATTGGTGCTCGTGATACCACTTGTTAGACGAGAGAAACGATCTAGAAGGGGGTTGAATAGATAGCCAATAAAATTTTCTTCTATTAAAAATTATGGTTTGAAAAATATTTGTTATGGCAAGCGGAAGCTATTTTGGATCGAAACTCATATATCCAAACTGTTATTGAAAGAATCATATACGCGTAGAAACCATAACAAAAGTATAACAATGATGAGAAATAATATCAATATGCTTTAAAAAATACATTTAAACTAAACCACACAATGATAATCAATTTCCAATAAAATAGAAAATGGAATTGGCTAAGACAATTTATCAAAAACTTAGTCTGCAAACAGTTTATCAAACACTTGGTATGCAATAAACGCCAAGCTTATTTCCCTTTGTGTTGATAGTATGAAAATCCAATTGCAATTGTTTATATTGCAATTGTCTTACAAAAACAATTTAAGATAGTTCAACACAAGTAGAACATTAGCTAATCAAATTGCTCACTAAGTGTGTTATCTAATTGTAGAGAAAGAGAGAGAGAGAGAGAGAGAGAGAGAGAGAGAGAGAGAGAGAGAGAGAGAGAGAGAGAGAGAGAGAGAGAGAGAGAGAGAGAGAGAGAACACCAAGATTTGTTTAAGCAGTTCTCCAATTGTCCTCACTATAAGTACGTCTGCCCCGAATTTCAAATAAAATTGAGATATCTAATTAACCTTTGCAAGAGTTGTATACAAGATAAAAAGTAGCAATCAAAACCCCAAACCCTATGTTTGTTGTTGATTCTAACTTCTTTTCTCCCCCTGATCTTAAATAAGATCAAGTGACCCAAAACTTTCAAGTCGATCATTAGGTCACCATAACTCCTTTGACAGAACCCCGTTCTTCAAAGCTTTCACTCGAATGAATCCTTGTTATGAAGTATTGTACAAAAACTCCTAAATCAATCATTGATCTTGGAGAAAAACCCCTAACAGGTTTTATCAAAGAAACTCCCAAAAAATACTAACCCAATTTGATTACAACAATCCTAAATTATACCTTATCAATGTAATTTAGATGACACTCAATCAAAATGATTATGTGTAGTTGTTGAATGTATGAAGAAAAGGTTGAAGGTGATGAGAAAATTCTTTGTATATTTTTGATTTTGATGCTTAGAAATGATGCACAAATGCTTATTTTTGTGTGTGTGTGTGTGTGTGTGTGTGTGTGTAAAAGAAATGACAAAGAAAACAGAGTTTTAGTAAAAATTACATGTTTTAAAAAGTTTGAAGAGGATGTATTGACTCCAAATTCTTATGAGTCAATACATATATAGAGCCTATGAGCCGCTACATAGAGTTCGGGAGCCGATACAAGTCAGGAAGAAATAATGGTTTGCCAAATTCTTCAGTTGGAGTCAACTCCAATACAGGATGAGTCGACTTATTCGCGTTATGTATCGACTCATAGATACTTTTGTACCGATACATAGATGGCAGAGTCACATTGCTTAAAAAAACTTTAAGTTGGAGTCGACTCCAACCATGGATGAGTCGACTCATTCACAATGTGTATCGACTCATTCATCCTATGTAGCACTACATAGAAGACAAATTTGTTTTTTTAACAATTCTTTATTATGTATTGACTCATGGGCTTGATGTATCGACTCATAGACTTATTTTTCATGAAAAATCATAATTTTGATTTATAATAGCCTATCTAACATAATTTTGAGTGTTCTAATATGATAATACACATCTAAACATAGATAATAAGATCCAATATATACAAATACAAAATATTTTACTTTTGACATCATCCAAAAAATATTTAAGAGAATGATGCACTCACACTCTAAAAATTTTTAAAATCCATATCCACTCTATTAATGTTTGCGTCCACCAAAACAAACAAAAAGACGGAACCAACATATTAGACGGTATAGATTTAAATCCCTTTTCTTAATAAGAAAAAAACAAATACAGCACAAAAGAGGAACAATATGAGTTTCTTTAGCCTCTAAAACCGAGTGTCTCTTTCAATTAGGATATTTAACTATAAATTCATTTTTAACACCACATGTATGTATTTGTTTTTTTCTAACCACTAAAATCGAGTCTCTCTTTCAATAAGGACATTTACCTATCAATACATTTTTAACAACACCATGTTTGTATTAAGGAAGCAACCTGTACATTTCTAAAACCGATTTATCCAGAATTGTCTCAAGGAAGCAACCTGTAAATTTCCCCCCAAAAATTGAATAAAAATTACCATTTCTCCAGAATTGAATTACCAATAACCCATTTAAAATACTTAATTAAACAAAAAATATTAAAACGGTTATACACAAATATGGAACTAAACATGAAACCAACACTGATTCTCTTTTTGTTCTTTGGTAATCTCCCTCCAAATTCCCAAGTATTTTCTTGGCTCTTCCTTACAAAACTCCTATTTAACAATTTAAAGCAGCATTTAAAACAAAATCCAAACATAATTAAGAAACAAATCAAGTTCAAATTTAGATACAAGTAGCTTCTTAAACAAGCCATGCAACGTTACATCCGCAAAATCGTTCAACCAGCATGTCAAGTTTTCATAAACCACCGGGGAATCGACACGAAGAAGAACATAGCTGGGTTATTGTTCAAGGATTTAACAAGCATGGGAATAAAATCTTTCTTAGACAGCAAGAACATGAAACCGGGAGACAACCTGTTTTATCATATAGACAAAGCTATCATTGGTTGTAAGGTTGGTGTTGCTGTGTTCTCTCCTCAATACTGCGACTCGCACTTCTGTCTCCATGAACTCGCGCTTCTCATGGAGACAAAGAAACGAGTCGTTCCGATATTTTTCGACGTTAAGCCGTCGCAACTTATGGTCAAAGACGACGGAACTTGCTCTGAGAAAGAGCTTAGAAGGTTCAGGTTTGCCTTAAAAGAAGCACAAAATACGGTGGGCATAACCTTTGATTCAGTCAATGGGTACGTACATTATATATATATATATATATATATATATATATATATATATATATATATATATATATATATATATATATATATATATATATATATATATATATGAATTCATCATATATTAATTTACGGTTTCATCTCCGTGATTTATATTTCTTTTTTTTTCAGGGATTGGTCAGAATTATTAAAGGATACGACGAATGCAGTGGTTATGAATTTGTTGGAGGTGGAAGGAGAAAAAAATAAGAAATGGTGAAATACTAAAAAAAATCTGCACCATTGTTAATTAGATATTAGTTATAAATTAAATTTGTTTATTATTTGCATATGGGATCCAAATGAGACAAATCATATGTTTCTGTTGAGATCATTCAACTAGTTGGCCTGAATTAGAATAATTAAATGATTCAGGCTTCAATTCTAATTATTCTTTTAATTAATTAAATTGAATCTTATGTATTATAGTTCTATGATAGAAGCTGGATTGAATCCATTTCTGTTCATCTTTTGTATCTGATCCCATAATTTTGGGTTTGTTAATAAATTGTAGTTTATTTAATATTTTTAATATGTTATTTGTACATCTCAGCACCATTGAATATATTGTGTCTTGCATTTTTGTGAGAAGAGAATTTTTTTTAGATACACATAGTATCATTAAGTCCCACTCGATTTCACTAACAACAAAGTAGTTCAACTATCTATCAGTTATTTGTAACTTAAACTATTATACATTCGGAGCTTAAACTACTATTAACATTCTCTCTCTTCTTTCTTTCTTTCTTAAAGTAATTGTTGTCTTCCAAGTGCTCTAACAGCAAGGGAACATTGCTTCTGATATCGTCCAGGTTGCTGTCCATGATGCCGAAGTCGCCTCGCACCCACTCACCATCGACCCAAGAACCCATATCACCAACCATAAGAGATTTCTTACTGATGGCCTGATACAAAACCTGAAAAGAAACTTCAAAAGGAACTGAACTAGCCCATTTTGCAGACCAAAAATGAGTGTCCTTGCCATCTCTAAGCGTGAACTGCACCGAATCGACAAAGTTAAAATCTCCAATGTTTGAAAGAACACCACTCTTCAATATGTCTTTCCACCAAGATTCGAAGCCCCTCAAAATCTACTTTAGTGATAATTCACTCCAAGACCGAAAACTGTTGAAAATAAAATTAAACTTGATTTGGGCCTAAAAATATTATTTGGACTTTTGGGCTTAGTTGTTTTGGACTTAAGTAATTTTAATTAATGTTTCTAGAATACTCTTGTAATGTTTGGAGTGTCTAGATATTTCTTAGGGTTGTAATACTTTCTAGAGTACTCTTGGAATTTCTAGAGTTGAGAACTCTCTAGAATTAGTGTGTCTAGAGTTCTCCTTAGAGTACTATAAATAGAGATGTAATTCTACACTTTTGCATCAAGCAAAATACAAAGTTCTCTCTTCCATAAATAATTCTTCCACCTATCAAGTTTTTCTTTAAGCCTCTAATATTCCCACACACTTTTCTTAAACACAAAAGGTCTTATTTCCAACAAAGTGTCATCAGAGCTTGAAGGTCCTCAAAAGATGGCGAATGGAGGTTTCCCTTTTCAAATGCCGATACTCACAAAGAACAACTATGACAATTGGAGTATCAAGATGAAGGCACTACTAGGAGCTCAAGATGTGTGGGATATTGTTGAGAAAGGCTTTAAGGAGCAAGAAGAAGCCTCCTTAAGCCAAGGTGTGAAGGAGACATTAAAGGAGTCAAGAAAGAGAGACAAGAAAGCTCTCTTCCTCATTTATCAATCGGTGGATGAAGATACATTTGAGAAGATCTCCAATGCAACGACGGCCAAAGAAGCATGGGACAAGCTTCAAACTTGCAACAAAGGAGTGGAGCAGGTGAAAAAGATTCGTCTTCAAACTCTTAGAGGTGAGTTTGAACGTTTATTTATGGAAGAGTCTGAGTCAATTTCTGATTATTTTTCTCGAGTATTGTCCGTAGTCAATCAACTTAAAAGAAATGGTGAAGATGTTGATGAGGTGAAAGTCATGGAGAAAATACTTCGCACTTTAAATCCAAGTTTTGACTTCATTGTTACCAACATTGAAGAAAATAAGGATTTAAACACCATGACTATTGAGCAACTTATGGGTTCCTTACAAGCATACGAAGAAAAACAAAAGAGAAAAATCAAACAAAAGGAAAATATGGAGCAACTACTACAACTCAATGCAAAAGAAACAAACTATGCAAATTACAACAGTCAAAGAGGACGAGGTCGTGGCCAAGGTCGTGGACGTGGCCGTGGACGAGGACATGAAGGAGAAAGAAGAGGTAGTTACAACAACTACTCCAACAACTTCAACAATGGAGAAAGAAGTTGGAATCCACAAGCAACAAGAGGTCGTGGAAATGGAAATTCATGGTCAAGGTGCAACAAGTTACAAATCAAGTGCTTCAATTGCAACAAAATCGGTCACTATGCATCTGAGTGTAGATTCTCAAAGAAGGTTGTGGAGAAAGCTAATTTTGTAGAAGAAAAAGGTGGAGAAGAAGAAACATTGCTGCTCGCATGCCAAAACCAATTTGAAGAGAAAAGAAACAAGTGGTACCTCGACACCGGCGCAAGCAACCACATGTGCGGCGATCGAAGCATGTTCATAGAGATCAATGAAGCGACAACTGAAAATGTCTCATTTGAAGATGACTCAAAGATACCGGTCAAAGGCAAAGGTAAAATTCTCATACGCTTAAAGAATGGGAGTCATCAATTCATATCCAATGTCTACTATGTTCCTAACATGAAAAATAATATTTTGAGCTTGGGACAATTATTGGAGAAACGATATGACATCCACTTGAAAGAACATAATCTTTTCTTAAGAGATTGTGGGCATAACTTGATTGCTAAAGTGCCTATGTCAAAGAATAGAATGTTCCTCTTGAACATTCAAAATGATGTGGCAAAGTGTCTCAAGGCTTGCTATACCGACTCTTCATGGCTATGGCATCTACGATTTGGACACCTCAACTTCGGTAGTCTAGAATGTTTGTCAAAGAAGGAGATGGTGAGAGGCTTGCCTAGTATAAACCACCCAGACCAACTATGTGAAGGATGTCTAGTTGGGAAGCAATTCCGAAAAAGCTTTCCAAAGGAATCAACATCAAGAGCGACAAAACCACTAGAGCTCATACACACTGATGTCTGTGGACCAATCAATCCAAACTCTTTTGGTAAGAATAAATACTTTCTCCTATTTATTGATGATTATTCTAGAAAAACATGGGTTTATTTCTTGAAAGAGAAGTCAGAAGTGTTTGAAAACTTTAAGAAGTTCAAAGCCCTTGTGGAGAAAGAAAGTGGTCTTTCTATTAAGGCTATGAGATCTGACCGAGGAGGAGAGTTTACTTCAAATGAGTTCAACAAATATTGTGAAGAGCATGGAATCCGCCGCTTACTAACAGTGCCAAGATCGCCACAACAAAATGGAGTAGTGGAGAGAAAGAACCGGACCATACTTAATATGGTGCGAAGCATGCTTAAGAGTAAGAAGATGCCGAAAGAGTGTTGGGCCGAAGCAGTGGCATGTGCGGTTTACTTGACAAACCGTTCTCCAACAAGAAGTGTGCATGAGAAGACACCACAAGAAGCATGGAGTGGAAGGAAGCCAGGTATCTCTCACCTCAAAGTGTTTGGAAGCATTGCATATACCCACGTTCCAGATGAAAGGAGAACAAAGCTCGATGATAAAAGTGAGAAGTATGTATTCGTGGGTTACGACTCAAGCTCCAAAGGGTACAAGCTCTATAATCCAAATAGCGGAAAGATTGTCATAAGTCGTGATGTGGAGTTTGAAGAAGAAGATTGTTGGGGTTGGAGTGTTCAAGAAGACAGGTATGATTTTCTTCCTTATTTTGAAGAAGAAGAAGATGAAATGGAACAACCAATGATAGATGAACATATTACACCACCTGCCTCACCAACACCAAGGTTGGATGAAACAAGCTCAAGTGAGAGGACACCACGATTAAGGAGCATTGAAGAGCTTTATGAGGTAACCGAAAACCAAAATGACATTAACCTCTTTTGTCTTTTTGGTGATTGCGAGCCTCTAAGCTATCAAGAAGCTGTTGAAAATGTAAAGTGGAGAGATGCCATAGATGAAGAAATAAAGTCAATCACGAAGAATGATACGTGGGAACTTGCTACACTTCCACGGGGACACAAAGCAATCGGAGTAAGATGGGTGTACAAGGCGAAGAAGAATGCAAAAGGAGACGTGGAGAGATACAAAGCAAGACTGGTGGCAAAAGGCTATAATCAAAGACAAGGAATTGACTATGATGAGGTATTTGCCCCCGTTGCTCGTCTTGAAACTATTAGACTAATCATTTCTTTGGCAGCCCAGAATGAATGGAAGATCTATCAAATGGATGTGAAGTCGGCCTTCTTGAATGGTTTTCTCGAAGAAGAAGTTTATATCGAGCAACCACAAGGATATGAAGTAAAAGGGCAAGAAGAAAAAGTCCTCAAGTTGAAAAAGGCGTTGTACGGACTCAAGCAAGCTCCGAGAGCTTGGAATGTTCGAATCGACAAGTACTTTCGAGACAAGAATTTCATCAAGTGTCCATATGAGCATGCACTCTATATTAAAGCGCAAAGTGGAAATATTTTGATTGTGTGCTTGTATGTTGATGACTTGATCTTCACTGGGAACAATCTAAGCATGTTCGAAGAGTTCAAGAAAGACATGTCAAATGAATTTGAGATGACAGATATGGGGCTCATGGCATATTATCTTGGCATTGAAGTAAAGCAAGAAGACAAAGGAATTTTTATCACCCAAGAAGGCTATGCAAAAGAAGTCCTTAAGAAGTTTAAGATGGATGATGCCAATCCGGTTGGCACCCCGATGGAATGTGGCAGCAAGTTGAGTAAGCATGAAAATGGAGAGATTGTGGATCCAACTCTTTACAAAAGTTTGGTTGGAAGTCTACGTTACTTGACAAGTACAAGACCGGATATTCTCTATGCTGTAGGAGTCGTAAGCCGTTACATGGAAGCTCCAACAACAACTCACTTCAAGGCGGCAAAGAGAATCCTTCGATATATCAAAGGTACAACAAACTTTGGCTTACACTATTACTCTTCTAACAATCATGAAATTGTTGGCTATAGTGATAGCGATTGGAGTGGAGACGTGGACGATAGAAAGAGCACTACTGGTTTTGTATTCTTTATGGGAGATACTGCTTTCACTTGGA